TAAAAGACAAAGTCCCATGTAGTCATGAGGTTACAATGACTCATGGAACAAAAGCAGTAACAGCCATAGCAGCAGATCCTTCTGGAGCTAGATTAGCTTCTGGTTCCATTGACTATGACGTTTGTTTTTGGGATTTTGCCGGTATGGATTCATCCATGAGAAGTTTCAGGACGTTGCAGCCTTGCGAGAATCATCCTATTAAATGTTTACAGTACTCTATGACAGGCGACGTTATATTAGTCATATCTGGTTCAGCGCAAGCAAAAGTTCTGGATAGAGACGGCTTTGAAAAATGTGAAACCGTGAAAGGTGATCAGTACATATCAGACATGGCACGTACTAAAGGGCATACTGCAGGATTATACAGTGGCTGCTGGCATCCATTCACAAAGGAAGAATACCTTACTTGTTCGCAAGATAGTACATGTAGAATATGGATTTTATACAGGCCACGTGCGCATAAACATTTAATAAAGTGTAGAGCACAGAATGGAGTTAAAACCATACCAACTACTTGTGGTTACAGCAGAGAAGGCAATGTAGTCGCTTGTGGTTGTATAGACGGTTCTATACAAATGTGGGATCATAGGAAAAATTTTGTGAATCCGTCGTTGATTCAGAGGAATGCACATGCACAGGGTTGCGAGATATCAAGTTTGAGTTTCTCTTATCTTGGTCAAATGCTTGCAACTAGAAGCTGCGACGACACGTTGAAGCTTTGGGACTTGAGAGCGTTTAAAACGCCAGTCTTCGAAGCAAAAGATATATATTCGAGATACGATACGACTGACTGCATGTTTAATCCGGATGATTCGATCCTCATTACCGGAGAATCACTGAGGAAAAATCAGAATACAGGTAGAATTCTGTTTTACGATACAAAGACTTTTGAGCTAGTTAACAGGATAAATGTGACAAATTCACATGTTATTAAGACATTATGGCATCCAAAGCTGAATCAAATATTTGTTGGTTGTGGAAATGGAATAGTTAAAGTATATTATGACTCCAAGAAAAGTCTGAGAGGAGCGAAATTATGCGTTGTGAAAACGCATATGAAACAGAAACATATTGAAGTAATGTCGACTCAGCAAATTATCACGCCACATGCACTTCCGTTGTTCAGGCAAGACAGGCCTAAGTCAGTACGTAAGCAAATGGAGAAAGATCGTTTGGATCCTGTTAAATCAAGGAGGCCAGATTTACCAATTACCTCTGGGCAAGGTGGAAGAGTTGCATCTTCTGGTGGAACTCTTAGCTCTTATGTAATACGAAATTTGGGGCTTAGTAAGAGGATAGAGGATGATCAAGATCCTCGGGAGGCTATTTTGAAGTATGCAAAAGTAGCAGAAGAGAATCCGTACTGGATAGCTCCGGCGTATAAGAAAACCCAGCCACAGACAATATTCCAGACGACAGATGAGCAAGATGGAGCGCCAAGCACGAAGAAGCAAAAAACTTAAAGAACTATAAATGCATCGCGTTTTATGAATTTTTATATCATTGTATGTGTATATAACAGTCGAGAGAATTGTTTAGATATATTAAGGATTAATGTATTAATAAATGGAATAAATTATATTTAAATGAAAGATTGCTTAAATTTCTCTATATTTTACGCTGTTTCTTTTCTTCTAAATTATACTACCAATTTTCCTAAATTGGTATTATTCACACTTTGTAACTTGTCCAGAAAAAGTAAATTATAAACGTATTCTTAGATCAGGTCTATAAATTGCCCATTAAACATCTACACGTTTATATCTAAAGACAAACTAAGTGTACCAAATTACTACCATTTCACAATAGAAAAAATGAATTTGAGACATTTTCTAAATGACGAATAGTTTCAGAGATAATTGCACTTGTAGATTAAAATGTATTTGTATAGATGTAATATTTCTTTAGCTTGTTCACTTTCTCTCTGCTAAAAAATTTCAAAAATTTCTTGTTTCCATACTTCCATGTTTAATACACCAACTAATTATTATCGATTTATAATTAACAAATTTCTTAAAAGAAAAATAGAAAGTATTTATTAAGTAATAATTGGATTTACATTTTCTCTTTATTTAATAATCTCCGAAAATAATATACCTGTTAAGGATCAAATGGTATTATAATATTAATGTATCGTATATTTTATATTTATGTATTTATAATATATATATAATATATTACATATAGTACATAACGTGTTAATGTATATTGTATATAATATATATAATATATTATATATTATATTTATAATAAATTTCTCAAAATTTCATAATTAGAGAATAGAATATATCATAATTATAAAATCCTGATTGTAGCATAATGATAAAGACATTAAGCGAACTTTTTCTCATGAATTTATTCCTAATAATTCCATTTCTCTAATCAATTAATATGACATATATGAAAACAATTTAATAATACTTTACAGCAATACTTTGTAAAAATTCAATCGAAATCTTTTTCCTTTCTGCGAAACACTGTTCTTGATCGACTTGATCTATTTTATATATTCATTCAATACTTAAAATTTATAATTCCAATTCCATTCTTCAGCTATGTTTCGCTCAGGGGAAAAAGAAATCTTTCGAATTGCCAAGTTTAGGAACTACCAATTACATACACTCTTCATTTTCACTCTTCATATTGATCATTACAATCAAACAATGATTTGCTAATATTAAAGCTGAAATAGACGATGTTTAATTAATTACTATCCTAGATTAATTTATAGTTTATATAGCACATTATTATACAGCATTTTCATGTATATCGAAATTTACAATCATTATACACAAGCACAATTTTTCTTATAATATAATTGCTTGCAATCTGTCCCTTGAAACGTATTATGCCCCAAGTTGTGTAATCTAATAATAGTAACTAAATAACACCTAATAAATAATAATTATCGAAATATGTTGTTGCAAAATTTTATCAACGGAATTTATCATACTAATTTTTGTACTAAATGATTTTTTATATTTCTAAATTTAACTCTTAACTAGTATGATAATTCCCTTTGGTTCTTTAAAATTTTTTTATGTGTCTGTATTTCCTCGATGTTGTTATAATTTAAACTCTTTCGTAGCTTTCGGATTTTTATGCTTTTGTAAGAAATTTTAAAGTGAAAAATTCTACAGAATATAATATAAAATCTGGGATAGTGACTTCTATCACACATACATAAAAAATAATTTCGTACGAGCGTATGAAATGCAATTTTGTATCGAGCTTCTAATTTTTTAACTGTATATTTAAAAAGAATTTTAAAAATGTTGCTTAATTTTTTAATTATAAATTTGAATGAAAATCCATAGTCTACTTATTAGTGAAATTTTACAAGTCACAAGTTACAAGTTATTAGTATTAATATGCTACATGACATAAAAATATTATTTGACATAAATTTGTAGAATATTATGTCAAATACTATAACTTGTAATTTGTAACTTAATGTGTTAATATCATTATATAAAAATTGTTCAGTCATTAATTGAGATCTTGACAATGTTATTTTACCACGTATTATTCATACTAGTTAATCATTTCACAATTCCATTTTTTTTTTTAATTAATTAAGATACTTTTAATTATATTTTAATTAATTAATTTTTAATTATATTCTTAATATAAAAATTATATTATAGCAATTACTGCTTTATAATTTTTATATCTCAATTATTTAATTTTATTGTCAAAATTTCGATTCTTCCTTTCGTTTTCCTATTAAAATTTTCCTACTAAAATTAACAATGTACAACAAGAAATTCTATACTCTATATACATATGCATATCTATATAATACAAATATTTTTATATACATATATACAATATCCGCTTACGTATAGTTAAACAATTCTTCAAATTCATCGCTATTCATTTCGCTTTAAATTCATTCTATTCATCATTTATAAATTTAGTTTCATTATTATTCATGACAAGTTTATGTAAGTCTGGCAATCGTTATTAATATTTTGATTGCTATAATTATCATTGACATAATTATACAATATACGTATTTGTGTTTGTATAATTTTATAAAATGATTAAAATAAAATGAACTTCTGCCTAATATTATGAAAAGAAATTTATTTATAAGTAGATTGCAAATGATGTAATTATATAGTTATATTTCAAGATGTAAAATTGTATGTATAAATGAACATATAACAAGATAATTTTTATCCAACACTTATTTTCTTAATTAAAACGCTCGCAAGAATATAAATTTACATGGACATTTGCAAGTTTATTTATAATATAATATAGTGACCTTCAATAAGTTAATGTACTTTATATGTGTCCCAAAAAGTGGCCTAATATTTATGGCCTAATAAAAGGTATATATTTTCATATATTATATGTCTTTATAGGAACAAATTGAATAGTAATTCTATCATGCGTCAAAGTTCCGAAGTTTTCTTCTGTTGTAGAAAAGTGTACTTGAATGTCAGAAATTCTTGAAATTTTTAATTTTCTCCATTTATATATATATTTCTAATTTTCTTCATCTCTTCATTTTTATATATAAATTTAATTTTATAAGTTGATTGTTGTTTAAGAGCAGCTTTTACTTAACTCATTAGTTTTTACAAGGAACTGAAACCTCAACATTTCCAACTTTCTTCATTAGCAGATTGCGGATTTATAGTTATATACATTTGTTATAATTACAGTTGAATGCATTATATTCAAGATTATAGTTACAGTTGAAAGCATTATATTCAACTGTAGATGTAATTACTACTTAAGTTTCGTTTCCCTTAATAACGTTTATAAAACATTATAAACGTTTAAAAATGTTTCAAATACAATAATGCATGAAAACCCGCCAATCTGCCATTACATTGTTACTATAGATATTATTAATAAATTTCTCGAAGGACGTTCGATGCTTTTTACACTTCGTGAGACTTTTGAAAATCAGAACTAAAGTTTTCATTGCCTGCCACTAAAGAGTTTCATCTCCTTTAGGGAAATGATTGAAACAAGAACCCTTCTCAAAATCCGTATCCTCGAGATGTTTTCGTTGAATATCACACTTCGCTTAACATGTTGCTCAACAAAAGAATGTCTTCCCTTTAGAATACTGTCCTAATCTAAAAAGAATAAAAATCTCAATTGCTGAAGCAGGTGTGTACCGCGCGCGAAGCTAAAGTAACAGAATCTAATCAGAAAGGAATCTCAGTACCTTTCTCAGTATCTTTCTCAGTACCAACTATAAAACGACTGATGAGGGGTAGGTCTGGGTGGTTGTTGAAAGCCTTGAGCACCGTAATGGCTTGCAAAAGGTTGATGAGGATGCGCGGCATGAGAGTGAGATTGTTGGAGACACGTCGGTGAACTCGATAGTCCAACTCTTCCCCCGCTGGAAATCGGAAGATTCCACGACGGTGAAGAATTTTCTTGACCCGCTTGTTGCTGTGGCTGCGGCTGTTGCGGCTGTTGCTGTTGCTGCTGAACCGGTGACACTGGACTGATTGGTAAATCCGCCGATGTTAATTGATCGGGCGTCGAGTTCGAATTCCCAGAATTTGGAGCCATCATGGTAGCCAAAGGATTTGGAGTTGGCGATAGCTGATGGCTGTTGGTTTGTTGGTAAGTTGATGTAGATGCTGGGGCCACTGAAGGCACTTGATGATTTATGTGAGTACTACTGGTGGACGTTGGTGACAATAGGGAACTAGGGTAGGTCACCGACGGTGGAAGACCATAACTTGATGTAGGTCCGACGGCTGGCGGTAGACGAGTTGAATCTGTCAACAGGCCGGCGTGGGGCGAATACAGATCAGCAACTAGAAAAAAGGGATTTGGTTAGTAATTTGAACGATTATTCAATTCTGAATGTATATCGTTCAATATACCACAATATGCATTAAACGCGAAAGATACAATACATGAAATTACTCTTCAATGTGTTCAAATTATTTTTAAATATTTTTCAATGAATAATGAGTTCTGTTAGATCAAAATTTTCCTTATCATGTTGAATTAAATTTATGCCCTAATTAGAGACATTTGTTGGTGGGTTATAAATATGAAACAACGTGGAGAAATATTTTGAATGTGATTTTAATTGGAATGTGACTTTAATTTGAATTAAATAATACGAAGCATCTGAGAATGTCAAAGTAGAGATTTCACTCTTTAAAATGAGACTTTAAAGTGGATTGTTACATGATCTTTACAAAGTTGTGTCAGTTTAAATTGTTGGCAATTTTTCATTGTCATTGGTACAGTTATGTTCTTCACTGTATATCCATAAGATAAAATACAGTGATTTGAAATACAATATGTATATCTTCGAAATTGTTACAAAATTGTCAAGGATGAAATTTTCCTCAATAAAACTAAATATTCGTAGAAAACGAATTATTCACAAAGAAGAATTATTTACAAAGAAAAAAATTTTCTGAAGGAAGGGTTTAAAGATTTTTTCAATAGAAATTCAAATTCCTTGAAGAAGAAAGTTCTGAACTTTTCTCGATAAAAATAAACTTTATTTCTAAAACATTAATTGTCCAGCAAGAAGTGAAATTCAAACCAAAAATCCCTCGTAAGTAAACTATGGATATTTATAGGTGTGTCTATGGAAAATTTGTTTCAAAGTACATGGCGTTTTATGAAGCACACAAATTACAAAATGAGTATTTTTTATTATTTATAACTTTTGAATGGGAGTTTTTGAAATAAATGACAAAAATATTAAGACACAATATAAGATATTGATTTGTTTAACCTGGAAATCTAGATTTGCATAAATGCCTATCCATAATCTACTCATCAGTTCCTTTCTAAATGCTACCGCAACCAATCAAATAAATCTTCCTACCTTGACTCGACGGAAAAGTGGCGTCAGGTAGAGTCTGTCCATGGGGATGAGGATGCGAATGACTCGGTGGAACACCAGTTGCAGCGTGTGGATGAGGCGCAGCTGGGGGATGAAGAACGTAAGACGCAGCAGGGTAGGAACTAACGTAGCCACTGGATGTGCTCGAGGACAATTGTTTCCTCAGTCTGGCTCTTCGATTGCTGAACCACACTTGAATTCTAGCCTCGGTTAATTTGGTTCTTTGAGCCAATTCCTCTCTGGTGTAAATGTCTGGATACTGGGTTCTTTCGAAAGCTCGTTCTAACTCGTCTAACTGATGGGCGGTGAAGGTTGTTCTGCTTCTTCGTTGTTTCCTCTTTAAAGGGATCCCTGGTTCGCTGTCACAGTCTGAGCCAGAACTGCCTTTAAAATATACTGTTCGGTAAATTTTGAACTTAAAATTTAATAAATACAGTTGTACTTAAAAACTTGGAAGTTTTTTTTGAAATTGATATTTATCACTCCTCCCTGAGTGAAATCGATATAAGTACTTATATCAATAATGATATAAATTGTTATTCGTACGATGACAAGTTTATTGAATTTAATGACAACATTACTCATTGCATTCACAAATGAATAGCATATAAATGATTAAACTGAAACGAAAATACAATTGAGGAAAGGAAATGAAATCTATCGAGCCTATTTGAAATTGCTAGTATCGATATCCAAATCTGCAATTTGTAGGTAGTAATTACTTTAGTAGATATTAATTTTTAAATTTTTAGTAATTACTTTAGTAGATGTTAGTTTTTAAATTTTTAGTAATTACTTTAGTAGATGTTAATTTTTAAATTTCTAGTAATTACTTTAGTAGATGTTAGTTTTCAAATTTTTAGTAATTACTTTAGTAGATGTTAATTTTTAAATTTTTAGTAATTACTTTAGTAGATGTTAATTTTTAAATTTCTAGTAATTACTTTAGTAGATGTTAATTCTTAAATTTCTAGTAATTACTTTAGTAGATGTTAATTTTTAAATTTTTAGTAATTACTTTAGTAGATGTTAATTTTTAAATTTTTAGTAATTACTTTAGTAGATATTAAATTTCAGTATTAAATTTTTAGTAATTTTTAGTAATCATATTAGTAGGTATTAAATTTTTAGTAATTACCAATAATTGAAAAACACTGGTAAATAAAATTATACGATGTATAAATAATTAAATGTAACGCGCCATGTATATATAACTAAATATATATTGTACGAAAATTCTTTACGAATTATAGGGTGCACGAGAGTGCAACAAAAGTAAATGAGGGGGTCACGTCTAGGTAATAATTATTAATTTCGCGTCACCTGCTCAACCATGTTTCTGCAGGTGAATGCACGTCCTGGTTTACGGTTTGTTTTGCCGAGGGAGAGTTCAAAAGGAACCGCACTCCAATTCCCATTCTGCTGCTTGTTTCACACTCGATTTCACGATCGACTTGTTTGCCGTTTTATTACTGTGTTTTATTGCTTTTTATTTCACGATCGAAACTCTCTTTAATGCGCTCTCGGCGTAATTTGTCGCGACGCGCACGTTTTTTCTTTTCTTTTCTTTTTTTTTTTTTTTTTCTTATTCGTAGACAATCATTACTCATATTTCAGATTATTTTCAGGATAACTTTTAAAATACAAAACTGAAATGTTCCACGACAATTCAATTAATTTTAAAGTCATTAAATTATTTAGTGATTTTTTAATGCGAAATTGTAAGAAATTACATTGTTTTCAAAGTGTTTTCATCGGTTTCATAAGAGATGATCTTTGTAAAGTAAGATAAAAATGTGTTCGATGTTTATTTAATCTTTTAAAAAGTGTTTATTAAACGACATTTGTATTAATCTGTCAATGTGAAGTAATCCAGGATCAATTGAAACGTTGTCGAGCGTTAATGGAATATATGGACGAAGATGTTTCAAGATTGAAATTATTAACGTCGATCGAAGGATTAAATAGACCGCGAGCACGAGCGACTGCAAGAAGTATGATTTACTACAAGGACACCAGCCAACTGCAAGAAAAGTGACGAGTGATGACTGATGACTGATGACAGTAGAAAAACACGTTCCACGATCCTTTCCCTTCGATCGAACGAACACTGACTGATGATAACAAGGTTACCGAGTTTTACCTCGAATAAATCAAACGATTCGACCTTCTTCGTAATTTCAATACGTATCCACGATTAATAAATTTTCACATATTAATCACAGTGGAAAGCGCAAGCTGAAACCAATAAATATAGACTTTCACATAAGTCATTTCTCATTAATGCTGAAATATACAGAAACAAATGCAGACTAGAGGAACGTTTTGTTAACGAGTAATCGAAATTAAAGTTATTCGTAAAAATTTTTTTCGTTGTAATATATTATTCGTTGTGTATACTCAATATTTCTCTATTAGCTTACTCTACAACGCTATTAGTGTAAATAAATAAATAGCACATTACTAATATACTTGATATTATCTGAATAAAATCGATATTATTTGAATATTAATCGAGTATATTAATGAATAAATATAATGAAAATAATTAGTTGATAAATGTTAATTATAACATTAATATTACTTTTTACTTGTTTTCGATAAAAAAAAAAAGCACACACTTATTAAATATCTATGTTTTACGTAGAATATCATTATACAATTGTTCAATGTTCATTTCATTACTCGACGTTTACTTTCACTTCAATTCTACCAGCTTTTCACGACAGGCAACAAATTGCTACGAAATGAATGTTCACGCGTGTGTCCTTCCGACAAAATTATTTCAGCATTTCATTTTTTTTTTTTTTTTATTGTACGATGTTTACTCGCGCTGCCCATTTTCTCCCAAGCGAATCAATCATTTCTTCATCCCTCTCGACGATTACCGCGATTACGGCGAGACAATTCATCTAATACGATCCCATTTGTTTGATTTTTCTCTCGATTGCTCATTTTCCTAAACCTCCGGAGTTAAATTTTTTTACGACCTACAGTTATTTCTCAACCTTAGTTTCTTTATTCATTTAAATATTTCGTATACTTAAAACTTTTAATACATTTCCAGATGTTAATAAAACAATGAAATAATTCAATATTAATGGTGATATCAGTAATGAAGTTTTTCAGAAGAAGAGTATCTTCATACGTTCTTAAATCAATGATAATCAATCGATCAATGGCATTCCAATTTCATTTATACAGCGCTGTTTATGGAATGCAAGATTTGTGTCACACTAAAGTTATATACACTGATCAGTCATTAATCTATAAATATTCGACAAATTTATTAAATTAGCTCTTTTTTCCTTCCTGTATATATTACGATTTATTTAAGATTTCGTATATTCACTTTAGAAAGAAAGACGTTTAATATTCTCTTTCACAGCGTGAGAACATTTGATAAGAAAAACCGACGGATGGTAAGGTACCGACGATTTCAAATTATATTCAAAAAAAAAAACAAAACATAAATACACGCTGCAAATTTATGAAAATTTTGGTAACACAGAAATACAGAAAATCCGTGTGATATACACTCTTTGAAACGTCTAAATACTTACTTTTCAAATCGACATAAATATCTCTGCAGTCTACCATAATAACTCGTCCTAGTTTCCGTCCGACTGTAATTGTAAAACTGTCTTTCAGTATGCATTCGACGATAGACAAAGAAAGACAAAGATCCCCGAATAGTCGGTTCGGGGGATCTAACATTTTTAGATGAACATTTGTAGATTCATCGTCGAAAGCAGAGACGGATGACACGCTTGTAAAAAGGAACGAGGCTGTTTCTTCCGGCGAGTGGACCGGCGGAGAAGCATCTTGAAATTGTCGACTGGCTTTACACGGGCCGCGACTAATCGGCCGACGACACTTGACGCCGCCAACTGACTACGATGATCCGCGTTCATGTCCATTCGACACGGTGTCTATTCCCGGACGACGGGCCGCTTCTTCTTCCCCTTTCCTTTCTCCAGTCGCGTCCTCTTCATTCGTTTCTATCGTTTCGCGGGCTTCCGTGCTAATCTACACCCTTTGCACACCTCGTTTCCCCATCACTTCGGTTTCATCGATGTCTCATTGGATTTCCTTTCTTTTTTTTTTTTTTTTCGTACGAGAAAGGATCGATTCTTGGAAATCTGCAGAAACGATTTCTGCAGAGTTGGATTCGGTATATTCGTTGATAACTTCGAGCGATGAAAGGTGATTCGATACTTTGGAGAGGAAACAAATTTTTGGAAATTTGACGAATCTTACTGGATTCTTTTTTTTTTTTTTTTGTAGAACTTATATATTTTGGAAGTGAATTTCTTTCATTTTAGACTTAGATTTAGGATTAACATCCATAAAGAGACGATTGGATTTTTTGACACGAAGGGGAATTAAATTTCTAAAAATTTGAAAAGACTTTTGTCAGAGTTTCCCTTTTTTTCTAAATTATTCAGATTATTTAGGTCCATTGATGCGACGAATGGATCTTTCGATCCTATCGACACTGTGAAATTTCTACCTAAATTTTACAATTTTAGGTTGAATTTTAAGTTAAATGGAATTTAAAAAGAACTGAATAATACAGTTAGAAATGTACTTATTTTTGGATCTTCTAACTTTAATATCAAGTTATTTGTTTGCTGATTGATATCTTCAGAAAATGAAACTTTCAAAGGTCAATAACTTTGAGATGAAGGATGATAAAAAAACGTGAAATATTAAATTAAATCGTAGATTTGGATGAATTTATAGATTAACAATAGATAGATAAATAGATCATTCTATTTTATAAATAAATCTATAGGTAGAATCTACGATTACTTTTCATTTCATTTTGAAAAGAAACGAAAAATTCTGAATGATGTTTCTTACCAGCGATAAGGTTGCTACGGATAACATAAGTGAGCAAAGGGAATAAGTAATATAAAGGAAGAAAACTCGGGCGAGAGATTCTTCACAGTTGTTGCCGAGTTCTTTGGAGAAGAACGCTCATTGAGCAGGTAGTTTTCATTTTTAAAAGTAGAAATCGGACGTGGCAAATTTGCAAAATTCACGACAGAAATTACATATTTCATGGGCTAAGCGGCCACGAGCGGCTAGTAATTACCAAACTTTCGAACCCCGAATTACCCCCAAGGGGGTTGAGAGATTGCTAGTTTGCTGTACAACACGATCTTGCTACGTGGACCAAAAGACGTCGACACGACACACGCCGTTTTTCCTCTTTTATGAAACGCACAGCGTTGAAACTAAAATTCCACTTCTACTTGCACTTTGGAAAAGAAATTATTTCAGTAATTAAATTAAATTTCATCAACTGAATTCCGAAAAAGACTACGTAAAAAAAGTAATAAAATTCTTCAATTGCATTTATAATGCTAGTGGCCAATGTGTATTTATAT